ACTTTATGTTATCATTAATGTTATTAGTTATTTTTCAAGCCGAATTGAAAATAACAGGTGTTGAAACACCGAACAATTCTGGCTCAAATGACGAAAGTCATGACGAAGAAGTCAACTTGCTAGTTGAAGATCCAGGAAGTGAAAATCAATTGGGCGTTTTGACCTCTGAAGAAAAGGTCACAAACTGGATGGTTGGTGAAAAACTTGGCCAAATAAAACCCAAAAAGGGAAAGACAAAATCTCAAAAAAGACGTATTAAAGAACTACAATCATTTGTTGAAAAGAGTCGTATTAAAAACCTTGAAACCAAATTGGAAGTATTCGAAATATCTGAATTTGAAGAAAAAGAAGATTCTTTAGCGACCGTTGAAGAAACTGGCGATCAATTTTCTGACTCTGAAATTGATCTAGGAGTAACAAATCAAACTTTTCTGATCAATTTCGAAGGGGAAAAAGCTGGATGTTTTAACGTAGAGCCGAGAGCACGAGCACCATGTGAAATCATTCGGCTTTCGCCTCTCGTTTCTGAAGAGGGGAGTGAGTTAGAAATGTGTGATAGTAAATTCGGAGATGGTTGTTCCAGCTTAGACGAGGATTTTTACAATTTCGAAAAAAAACTTCAAGAAAAAACAACAGGTTCATTCTAATTGTGTACTTCACTAACTTGGGATGATAGAAAATTTATTGCAACTGGGGTGTATATTTAACATGGATTATTTTAAGTTTTCTGAAGAACAAAAAAAATAATGTAGTTTATGCAGAATAATTATACCAATAAGTTTTTTTCTTTTTCCATCTGAGTTTCGATTCTCATAATGACAATTCTGGAGCGCATCTTTTATCAATTGCTTTTGAAAAAATATTGCCTTGCATTGAAAGAAGTTCTTGGTTCATTTACAACTTAGTATTTGCAAGAAGTATCAGTTTGCATAGCGTGAGGGGAGATGATTTTCAAAAATAATTCAAGGTATTTCGAGAAACAGATTCAAACATAGGGAATCAGTTTCAAAAAATTGAAAATATAAATGTGTTTTTTGTCCAAAGGAACTTTTTGATGTTTCCAAGAAAGGACAACTGAATAAGGCAAAAAAACGCAAAAATGAGTGATGGTAATAGTTAAAAAAGACTGCTCGGATATCAAGGCAAAGCTTTGAATGTTCCGACTGCCCTTTAACTCATATCGAATAGTTTTTATTGAATGAAAATAGTGTAAAACTATAATTTTGGATAATATCAAAAATCAAGTGTAAAAATTGAATCGTACAAAACTATTACTACCGATTAGCTGGCCTTCATTCAATTTGGAACGATTTTGTTGTGCTAGTTAATTTGCCGCGCATAAATTTTCTTCTCGTTACGCTTTCAGCATTATGATTAAAATCTTCAAACATATATTAATCCCGAGCATGGTCAATTTAGCAATTTTCAAACTTTTAGGGAGTCGATATCTTCAATGGGGTATAATTTTTTTGTTAAAAACTTTTTTTTGTTAAAAAAAATTGATTAAAAAAAACAACATCAAGCATAAATCTTCCGTTTTCTTCGAAAGTCGGAACAAAAACATTTATACCGTAGCAGGCAGAGTTAAATTGAAAGTTCAGTTTCTCACTGCGTGTCAACTGTACATTTTGTGTCATCAAGTCTGAAAAACTTAGAAAATTCTATTGGAAAACCGAAAAAAAAGAAACCGAATCACGACCAATAGGATAGGTTAGCACACGTGGCTCCTGTGAAGCTTCTTTGAGATAGTCAAAACAGACATTCCTTCTTTTTAACTTGCGAATGGATCGGAACAATTATTGTAATGGGGATCCTGAAGACAAAGTGTCCACCAATCGTTTCACTTCTTCATTGAAAAACAAGAAATTAGAGTCCATTTGTCGTGCTGAACCCATGCCATTTAGGTAAAAATGACCCCTTCAAATTTTTTGAGAGCTCAAAGTCGACAGTTCAAAGTTTGAGAACTCAAAACGAAACACCACCGATGATATTGATTTTTTTGGTACAGTTTGCGCTTTCAGATTTTCGGAGCAATTTAGCTTATCTTGGTTTTCGAAACACACAATGGCAATAACAAATAATCATAGCAACAAAGCTTACCAGGGCAAAAATTTGAGTATTTTTTTGCCATTTAATGTGTTTCCTATAAATGTTTTAGTTTTATCTAGTTGAACTACATGTATACTTGTAAACACTAATGTGCCTTCAATATTTGTAAAACACTTGTGTGCTGGTTATTTCCGTCAACTTTCTATGTGTTAATAGAAAACTGGAAGTCTCACCCTTGTTATTTCAAAAAAATTGATCAAATGGGAAATGGTTTCATAATTGAGCTCAAGTAGTCAAAATTCAGTCAGACAGAGAACTTTTTCTCGAAAATATACTGTTAAGAAAATTAGTGTTGTGTTGTGTTGAGAACAAAAAACATGCAAGCAAAAATATTCTGTAAAATTTTTTGAAAACAGTTCCTTTGAAAATCATACTCAGATACGAGAGGTTTTAAAATTTAAAATCCGCCTAACAGAAAATTGTTTTTGAACAACATTCAAGCATATCTCAACAATTCGCGCAAGTACGCAGGGTGCACAAAGCTTCAGGGATTGATGCGCAGGCAGAGCTTTTTTGGATGTTGGTCTGCCTATAAAAACCACCCCCAGGATGGATGTTCCTCAATTTATTCAAAAATCGGAGCAATAATGTCGAGAAAAAATCATTTCATGCAACAACTTTATTGCTACAATGCTACAACTCTCAAACTTTACAAAAAAAGCAATAAATACAATACACCCTTACAGCAGTTTTGAAACCACAATTACAAAAATAAAAAGTCACGATAGAGCTTTACTCAATCCCTGCAAAACAAACAATTGACCAAGCGGTCTTAATATCAAAACAAGGGAACCAGGCTTTTAATTAACAAAAACACGATACAACACAAAATATCACGAGAGTGTATAAATCACGCCAAAAAACGTAAATTTGGAATAAAGTTCCAGATTTAGTTGAATCGGAAAAACGCAAATTTTGAATGAAATTCCAGACTTAGTTGAAATTACGGTGCATATACAAAACAGTTCCATGCAAAAGAGTAGAATACAAAATAGTCCAAGAAATCATGTAATGAAGGATAAAATAGTCCAATACAAAACAGTCCGGCTTAAAGTTGCCGTTGGGCGCGCTACGCGCGCTTCGCCCGTTCGCGGCAATAACCGGCTCTAAATATCGTATTAAGTCCTACCCTCTGTTGGTAAGGGACTGTTTGGAACTGTTTTTCTTGAGGCTGTTTTTCCGGACTGTTTTGTATGGGACTGTTTTTTATGGGACTGTTTTCTACAGACACGCAAATTACGCATTGATGATCAAACCTATCCAAAGTGAACTGGAGTTGGATTTTGCAACGAATTTAACCACACCAATAAGGAGAGAATTCAGCTATTTGTTTGAGGAAAGTTGTATTATTTTACAAGAGAGCGTTTTTTCTGTTTTTTTTTAAATGCATCGCCTACACGCTATGCCAAGTACACTATAACAAGCTCTACACCTAATTTGGCATTCTTCCAGTAATGTCGTTTGCCTCCATCTATTGTTTTATGAACCAGATTGATCGTAACAAGGCAAATCCTTGAACAATTTGACTGCCGTATAAGTGATCTCGAAAAAATTTGATTAAAAAAGATGATAAATTATGTGTTTGCTTTTGTAATCCTTGCAGCCAATATAAAATTTTCTGTGAAATTTTTGCCGTTTAGGGAAAAAATCAGTTCACATTGAAATGACTCCATTCGGAATACACGCCACTCATGAATGATTCGCGCTACAATTTCAACATCTCAAATAAAATCGCAAAAGAGCGCAAAAAATATGTGGTTGATATTTGCAGAGGGGAAAAAAACTTTCGCTCATTCGATCACCAAAAATGTTCTAAGTAAAATACACCCGAAGCTAATATATTTTTTATTCATTCAAAAGTCGGGAAAAAGCGAATATTGCTATCTTTAAATCCACTAGTTTACAAAAAAAAAACTTTGTGATTAAATTCCACAAAAAAAACTTTTTTTAGTTAAAAAGTTAAAAATCTTGTCAAAAGAAAAAACCCACATTGAAAAAAAATATTCCATGCTTACTTTCAAACCAAAATTAATTAAAGTTATGATATAAACTTAATAGTATGAAAAACCTGTTTGGTTGTGATTTCGTTGATCGAAGTCTTAAAACTTAGAAGTTTTCGCTTTTCATTAGTTTCGGAATTTCAAGAAAAAAGACGGATATTTTGTGCTTGGAGTGATTTTTCCTCCATGCAAAATTTGTCAAAAACAACAATTTTCGAAAGAATTTTTTAAATATATTTTTATTGCTAAATAATGGGGTTTTGAATGGGATAATGGGATAATCAACGCTGGCTACTTATTGATTATCAAACACGTAGCGTTAGCGGCAGATTATTTTTTTGAGTCTGCTAGCGCAACAGTTGGATCAGTTCAATTAACTTGCCTGAAAAATATTGGAGTTAATTTTGAGCAGACTAATATATAATATTATATATAATCTAATTGGCGCGCCTTAATCATCCCGAATTGGCCAAATTGGGGGTATTCGAAGCCCCATAACTTCGTATAAAAAAGTCCACACTAACTTTATTTTTAAATTTGATCTCGGGACTTTTTTTGTAATAACTAAAGCGCTTTTTTCTCTTTTTTTTAAAAAAAAAATCTGCGTCTGACTTCACTATAATATGAATTGAGGTTTGATATATAATCCAATAATGCGATATTAGACGCAAATTTTGTCACCTTTATCTAAACTGTGTGTGCTGTTGGGAAATTTTGCCAACAACGGACACTCGGAACATTGAAGATATGTCAACGGACAGTCGGAACATTCAAGCTTATGCTCGGATAGTACAAACATCTAGATTATTTTTGTCACCTTGAAAAAACTTAATGGATATGCACAGTTTTTATTCAATTTATTGTGCATATATTCTCCAGAACTTAGTTTTATCTTCAAAACATTTAGTTGAATAATTTTTGATAAAATGTTGAATAATTGATCAATTAGTTGAATAAACTCTGATAAAAATTATGCTGTCTGTAAGTTATCTGTGGTAATGTGATAGAAGTTTCTGTTTTGCAGTTTATATCTTGTTATTGTAGCGCTATTTTGTAAGTAGTAGTTTCTGACATTGTTTGACTTTTCCTTAGCAGGTTCATTTCAAGGAACCTCACTCGAACCGTTCGATTTCTGTTTCGGTTGCAGCTCATGGTTTTCGCTGGTGTTGTCTTCCGGGGGGTCGTCGAACTGGTGGATACCCTGGATGAACATGGTATAGTACAGAGCCACTGCTATGAGTCCCCCGGATACTGGACCTACATAGTAGATCCAGTGGTAGTCAGCGAAGTCCAGCATGATCATGGCGGGGGCGAAGGATCGTGCGGGGTTGAGACTGCAGCCGGTGAAGGGGGCCATGAAGAAGACGCAGGCCAGAACCATGAATCCAGCTGAGGTCGCCGGGAATCCCTGGAAAATGAAACCACAAATATTGTATATTTTGTGAGTATTTCCCAAGAGAGCCATTTTCCCCTCCTCAGGGATTCTTCCCTCTGCCGACTCAAATAGTCCCCTATGTACTTTTTGAGATACCCATTTTTGACGGACTAACCCTAAAAGTTTTCTAAAGACGTGCAAAAATTTCCAAAAAATTCCGCCTTTCTTGGCTTGTTTTTTCAAAATCTACTAGCCTCGAAATCCTTCTTTGGGTCGGGATCTGAGATGACTAGCACGAGTAGCACCAGAATCATGGTCCCGATTATCTCCACAACCAGACCTTGGCCCATGTTGATGCCTGGCTTGAGTCTGTTCATGCCCAGATAGGTTTCCTCAACCCAGGGTTCAGGTGCGATCCAATAGACCATGGCCGCTCCAGCTGTTCCTCCTATATACAGTCCCACACACATTACTTAAGAGATATTTCAAAATATAGCTGTTAGAGAGATCCCATCTTACCATGGCCGACATCACCACCGCATCTTATGTCCAGACTTTCAAAGTTGCGGCTAGCTGTTCAGTTAAAGGCAACATAAATTGCATAATCAATAACTTTTTGTCAGCGTCAGTTTTTGCAAAACTCTTGAAAATGGCATGAAAATGTAACTAAAAATTATTGAAGCATAAACGCTTCAGAAATATTTACCTTTTTTATGAAATGTGCTGCTCCAAATGGTGGCCAGTCAAAATCCACGACGAAACTAGACCACCAAAATAAAGTAGCAAACTTGAATAAAAAAACATTAATGTGAAAACATATCGGAGCTCTTAGCGCTTTGCTGGAACATAAGACTCTGATAAATTAGCATAAAAAGGTAGCTGAAAAATTGCTGAAATCCCAAAATGTAGCTAAAATACAAAAATTATTTGAAATTAACAAATATAGCTGAAATCGAAAATTATAGCTGAAATAAAAATTGTTGCTGAAATAAAAAAAAAGCTGAAATCAAAAGTTAGGTTAGATTTCTTTTCAGTCGGTCAAGGTGAAGGTGGATTTCTTCAAACTTACTCTTCGTAGCACTTAAACCACTTAAAGTTGTTCAGTGTAACCATTAACCATGTTTTTATGTAACTTGGATGGTTTTGTATCACGACAACTCGCAAAAAAGAAAACTCGTTTAGTTTAAGGACATCCATCAACAAATCACAAGAATTTTTTTTTGACCTAATCTCTTAAATTTCTATTCAAATAATCTCAATTTAGCTGCAAAAATGAACTCACACGCCTGACACTAATCGTTCTGAATATAAGCGCAAGGAGGAGGCGGAGCAATAAGCAGAATGGTCCAAGTGCAGAATGAGTTAAAGAGCAGAAAAACAAAAAATATTTAGATTTTTGGTGGTTTATACGGGCTAATTGATAGAACAATTATTAGAATCTTCAATAATAACACGAAAATGAATAAATTATGCATGAATTAGAATAATTTTATTAAGTTTTTTAATTGAATTTTTTTGAAATCTTGATTAAATTACTCAAATTATCCATAAAATATTCGTTTCTTTGGTAATATGGACAATTCTTATACTTAATTTACCGATTAGCAAGCAAAAGTTAATTTTATTCTGTTTTTCTGCTCTTGGACCCATTCTGCTCTTAGACCATTCAGCTTATTGATGGCCACCGCGCAAGGGATCAAGAGTTCGCCTCTTTTGCTAATGCTCTTGCGTTCTTAACTATCTAACTATCTAACTTGCGAGTTTGAGGGTTTCCCTAAGTTTTGCGAGGTGTCGCGGAGCGGATTGGATGTGACCAAATCTGCTAGCCTGCAAACTGCATCGGAAGGTAGAGAAGTCCCTTGATGAAGTGGCATCTTCTGCAGGCCATGAGAGAGATAGTGACAGCCGGGTTTATATGACACCCCGAAGTGGGTCCGATGATGTGAATCAGAGTCATGATTATGGCCGCGAAGGTCAGTCCAGGCGTGACCAGATTGTCAATTCCAGCTCCGATTCCTGAATCGTACTCGCTGCCGACAATGTTCATCAGGCCGACAAAAACCATGATGAAAGTTCCGAAGAACTCGGCGAAAACTGCTCGCCAAAGTCGGCGATCTTTGAGCTGCCACGGAATGTGGAGGAGATTGTCTAGAGCATGTCTTCTATGGTAACCCATTGTCAAAAGGATATTCTGGATTAAATTATTACGAAGATTTTTTTATTAGTAGTAAAAAAAAGTATTGGCCAAATCAAACCAGTTTATAAGCCAGAAGTCGTCAAAGTAATTATGAATTAGTATTGTGATAGCAACTGATCTGTACCTTCTTAATTTGGTCAAATTGTTGTTTTTGTTCACGTTTTCAGAGACAGGTAAAATACCGCTGGTACAAAACAAAAATAAGATTTGTAATGGATTTTATTTGTAAGTATCACTTTAAAATCAGTGGCATAAGAGAAGTAAATTGATCGATCAAATGTTTTCTTTTTATACCACTTCGTAATTTCACGCATATTAATATTAAGAGCACTTTTATTCCAAGTGCTTTTTTCAACTACGAAACCGTGAACAGAAGGCATGAAAGTTATACCTGGCGTGGACTAAAATATCCAAAAAAGGATTTAATATGCTCCGTTTAATCATGAAATTCAATGCTCAAAAAGTAATTTTTAGCTAATTTGAGGTTATAATACGTCAGCTCTGAAAACGTGAACAAAAATACAAACGGCATGAATACATTACGTAGACACAAATGGCATAACAAATTATGACTGGCAGCGACTTGAATATCTAGACAAAACAGTCATATTGTGTCAAGACAAGCTGTGCTCCACCTCAAACTATTTTCGCCAGCGAACAAAAAATAGACACCAAGAAACCAATTTCCCATTTTCCAACACTCTTACAAGAAACAAAGTTGTCCCGTTAGTCCTTTTGCAGATAATTATGCCCGGAAATTTCTGAAACTTGGGAAATTCACAGCTTGCTCCCCACGTTTAAGCTTAAGGCTACATGTAGTCGCTTAAAAAACCAAAAAAAAAACATGCGAGTTTTCTGCTGCTTGGACAAAAAATTGTTTCTGAAGTTTGAAAACTGAGGTAATTTTTTATCTAACTTCGTTTCCATAATTAAAAAAAACTTTCCTGGCCTTTCCAAGCATCGGTTCTCGATTATCTCAATCATTTGCTGTACTAATAGTCAATACTCCAACAATTTTGCTTGGCTTGGCTAATAGATCGACTTATTGTTCAAGAAATTCACTTTTTGAATTCAAATTCAAGGCAAATTGGTGACAACTAGGCAAACAATTGAGATAAATTTCGGGTCAAGGACAATAGGCCGACGGGAAATCAAGCTGAAGGGACTTCAGGCCAAATTTAAACTTTACAAGCACCCCAAAACTTAAAGTTTTCATCTGGAAAATGTACGTTTTTGAATCTTTGTGCAACTTTAGTCCATAATAGGTGTTATCCATGACAAGGCACCTCTTAAAAATGGCATCCGTTAGTTATATCAGTGATAATTTTGACAAGAGAAAATCTGTATATGGAGAGGAAAATTAGCCGATTGGTTCATTGAATAAAAGGGTCGTCAACAATCTTTTGGATGCTGGAGCTAGAGATGCTGTGATCCCAGCATAGCTGAACAAAATCAATGCTGACTGCATTGCTCTACCATGATGAATTTTGGTCTAGTGGAACCTGATCTAAACTACATTTTAGGATTGGATAAATTAGATATTTTACCAATGTAAAGTATTTAATATTAACCAATCATGATCCATCTAACTAACAATCCACTTATTTGTAAGTGCTGAAATTACTTGTAATTTCAGCACCAGAGAGATTTGAATTTAACTTAGAAATTAGTTGACTCTCCAAGAAGACTTCAGCAGCCGCAATAAACCAGTATACCCTAGATCTATTGAGCCTAGCAGAGACTAGTTAAACAACCTGAGACTAGATAGTATAAGAGTAAGATTAGGATTGGTATTAGACTAAGAAGTTGCACGAATCTATCCGGCCGAAAATAAGATAGCGTGACGAGCAGACGGTGTACCCTATCCGAAATTACTCTATGAGTTATACACCTCGGTCATAACTCATCTGGTGCGACCATAATTCTCGAACAAGACCTTAATAGCTTAGAATTAACCAATAATAGATTAGAATTTAGACAAAACATTTACAAAATGTTATACGACAATAATTTAATCGAAATGTCTCTACGACTCAATAGATCAGAGCCAATATTCCGAACGATAACAGAACTACCCGGAATTGCAAGAAGACCTCGAACCAGAGACGACATACGACAAAGTAGAAACTTACCATATAGTTATATAATAGTTCGGCAAAAGCCAACACAAACTTTTGTATTTAGAATACTACTAGCAATGAATTTAGATTTTCATTTGCAAACATAAAATCTTGAAGTCAATCTTCAAAATCATTTCTGGCGCTAAACCAAATTATTAATATACAATAACGATTGATAAAAAGATCTCAGATCGTTTTCCTAAATTCTGCAGTAACATACAAAACATGTTTGAAAAATATTTACTGAAAAACCAAAATAAAAATTAGTAGCATGACAATAAATGGTTAGTAACTATAAATCATCCTGTTGTTCCAGCTTCATCACCTAAACATAACAGCATTCATAAGCTCACTAATATCATAAAAACACTAAATCTTTTCTCTACACAAATTTAAATCATTATTAAAACTTAAATTCACTTAATTTTAAAATCAGATCATCAAGGCTTATCCTTGGATCTTAAATCATTTTCTACTTAATTAAATTTAAAACTTGATCATCAAGGCCTATCCTTGGATCAAAAAGAACAACTTTGTTCTCCCCCACCCACTTAACTAGTGTCTAACGACCTCAAACGTCGATTCACTATCCAACCCTTTCTAAAAACCCAGGACTAATAGAAGTTTTTAAACAAACTAATCATTCAAATTAGGATAAACAGTGAAGAACTTCGGTTATTCATCCTTCACTTGATCCCCCCTCTTACCAGACCCAGGATAAATCTTAGACTTAGTAAGTTTTAAAATAGTATCTAACGAACTACTCGCGTTCTAATTATACCTGAACCTTGTGGATCGATTTACTATTCTCCAACCCTTGAACACAATCACTACCCTTAAGTAAGATTAAGTAAGTTAACACCTTAGCTTATACTAGCCACGAGAAAGTATAAAATCATTCTTCGGAATCGATATACTTTTCTCCCCAACCCTGAATAAATAGACCCAGGTTAGGCTAACCAAAAAATCGTAAGGACTAACAGTCTAAGTAATAGAAATCATTTAACAACCTTTTGCATCCGTCATCCTAAACCTTATGTCATTTAAAAACCTAGGAAATAAACAAACAATCGTTTTACACAATTGTGAAATAGATAACAAAAAATACGATCTTGTAATCACACCACACACACAAACAGTTGGATATATCAGAACAAAACGACAAACACTAAAAAGAAAAATAATAACCAAACAAAGACAAATTACACGAAAAAGATTTTCCAAAAACCGCAACGCATTTTCAGAATCAGAAACCAGCAGTTTAGACGAACTTTATAAATTAAAGGAGACTATAGATAAAAATTGCCCCATTCACGATCAATTATAATTTTCCGACTCAGAAACAACTTCAAATTCATCAAAAAGAGGAAAAAGAAGAATAAAAAAGCAATATAAACACAAACCAGTACATTTATACATTTGGAACCAACCAATTAGACACATTGATAATTACATATTAACAGTCATCAAACGAAAAAATGAGCTCAACACACACCCCAGGTGAAGAAAGTCCAGATGATGATGATATCTTCCCCTTTATCGTAGATGCAACCACTGATAGAGGACAGCACATATTTTGCAAAAATTTACTCTTAAATTTGTTTGAACCCGGAATCAGTCCATGTAAAACAGAGTTCCCAGATGTAAAAATCAAAAGACAAATTATCGATCACTATTTGAAAGATATATGTAACATAACACAACAATACGGAATCTACTCCATAGAATTCAACTCACCAAACCAGAATCACAGCAAATATGTAATTCAAACAGACGACCTTGATTTAGAATTCTCAAAAGTATTCTCAGAATATATAAAAAGCATCCAATATCATAACTCACAAAGAGCAAACTCCATATTCACCAATGAAGTTTTTGCGATAATATATAGTTATATCTCGATATTAGAAAACGAAATCCAGATACCAAATGTCTCACCGACAGAAACATCTAAACATATAAAAGTACGACATGAAATCACACTACTCTCTAGTTTTCTAAATATAATTAAAGAAAATTTCACGAAAGATGAAGTTTCATAACATACAAAACACGACTTACAAAAAATTTTGGCATGGTTCATAATAGATTATTTCACACATAATATTGATTTAATTTCACAAGCAAGAAAAAATTTTAGACCCCAAAACTCAAACGATGATACTGCCATCACAGAACAATCAGACTATGTTTAGGACCCCGAATGGTCTCATCCCGCATTCATAAACTTCCCACAATCAATCTCAAGTCAAGCAATAAGTACGATATCTTATGTAAGAGATTATGTAAGAGTAATACCATTAACCATTGATGCAACACCATTAAACTATAATACATTTTTACCTGATATGCAAAATAATAGTTTAAACTCCACAGTCATACACAATGAAAACCTCAATGGAACTAGAAATCTCACTCAACAAGATATCCAGACACCATCACACTTCATAAATGAAGAAATCGTACACACAACAACTACACAACAAAGTATTTCACCAATACGTCCAAATTTAACAACACCAAGAAATACAAACCCTTCACAAACACAAGTAACCTTACAATCAACCGTTAAACCTTCGGTTGCCCCAAAATATTCACACATGGATTATCAAACATACAGACCCATGACAATACCGTCAAAAACACGTAAAACGTTCACTAGAAACAATTTTGCAGAACATAATTATAATTACACACATCCATCAAAAACAAATTATCCCCCACGAAAAAATTTTAGTAATTATACAAGATCTCGAAACTGGGATAACCCAATAGCACAAACTAATTCAGTAAATTTTCAAACAAATTTACATCCTTCACAGGATCGTAGTGAAAACTATCCATTTTTTCAACAAAATAAAAATAAAAAACAAACATCTTATCAAATGGATTACTTATCCTCAGATGATGATTTTTTACAACCAGATATATTTGCACCCTATAATCAAGAATATCGTGGACAAGGAATACAGAAACCACATACATATCATAGAATTTTTTCTCCACAACCAATAGAAACACAAAATCAACAACCAATTCATCAACAAAACCCAATTAATACACAATCTTTTCAACCACTTCAGCAACAAAACCCAATGATCACACACTCGTATCAACCAACACAAATG